AAACAAAGGTGAGTGTTAATAATCTATGCTATTATGTAAGGTCATAGGTCTGCCTAGTTCCATAACTGGCAGCAAAAATTCTTTTTCTGGCTGACTGAGACAAGATCTCTTTTCTTATTCACCATCTCAATTGACACGGTCTCAGCCTGCAGTACCTAACAAATCATCATCAGTCACTTGTCTTTCTAGTCAGGTTGCTGGGAAATCACACAAGGATTTCAGAATTCTGTATGTAGTTGTAAAAATACAGCAGCAACACTGACTCTACCACCCTGCTCACCCAAGCCACTACCATACCCACAGACTGGCCCTCCTTAGCAGCCCTAAACTCCAGCCCCTCAAGGACCAGAAACTGGGAGTTGGGATGAAATTTCTGCCTTTCTCTGATGCCTCAAGGAAGGAATGCCATTTCTGCAGAGGTAAGAGAGTCATCAGACATAAGTTCTACTAAGTGTAAGTAACACTCCATGCCTCAATTTCTCCTTCTGTAAAACATAAATACTAACAATACCTTTCTAACAGAGTTGTCAGAATCACGTGAGAATGCCTGAAAAGCACTAAGAAGAGTGTCTGGTATGAAGCACTCAATAAAAGTCAGCCATAATTATTATGAAGAAGAGGAAAGAGAGGCCTACAGTGCAGGATTCAAGTTCGGAGGGTACTCAATGTTCTTGGAGCATATCTCAACTCTGCTCTTTCCCTTTCCTCTCTGGACAGTTTCAAGTTTCCCTTACCACTATCAAGTCCCTGTTCCTATCCGAGCCCACACCAGGACCCCCACCCCTCAGCAGATAACCTTGCTGAGAAAGGAAATTGAACCTATTAGATAAGAATTCCTTTGCAAATTTAGGTGTATCCATCATTGCCTCTTTCTTCCTACATTCTTTTCCTTTCTTCTGTCATTCCTCTTCAAAAGAAATGATGTCTCCTTTTCAGAGACAACCCTCCACCCTCCTCTGCAATCTTCATTTCCTTTGTGCCTTCAAATGCAACCTCTCTATACTGGCTCTTACACATCATCGGATAACCCATGCTCAAGACTTCTATTCTAGGAAAATCTGTCTCTAGTCTCTGCTACTCCTCCACAAGCTGCCACCATCTTCCTTCCTTCCTTCCTTCCCAAACTACTCAAAGTGAGTACATCCTCCCTATCCTCACTTCGCATCCACTCTTCAATCCACCTGGCGCCCATCCAGCTGCTCACACTAAAAAAATAAAAGAGCCCTGGTGACCACAATCTCCTAACTGCCCAATCTCAAAGTACATTTTCCAAGCTCATCCTACTTGACCTCGCTGTAGCAACAGAGGCTGCTGATTCTCCTCCTGCAACTTTTTCCTCTGTAGCTCCCTGGACAACATTCTCTCTCACCTTGCCCACCAATCCCTGTCGTCTCCTCTGTTATCTTCAGTCTTCTATAAGCATGGCTAGGCTCATCCATTCCAACTGCATCAACTACCACTTACATCTACCACCCCTAGACACACACTCTCTTCTGAACTCCAGACCCACATTTCCACCTATCTAAGCGCCACAGACGCCCAAATTCAACACGACCCAAAACACACGGAAGCTTCCCCCAGCAAATGTTCCTCGTCTATACTCCCCCTTTACTACTGGTACCACCATCAATCCAAAATAGAAAACTGAGTCATCCTCAACAACTCCCTCTCTCTTGTTCTCAACAACCAATTAATTAGTCATTACGTCAGGTGAACTCTGTCTCAACAACCTCCAATATATCCCCTCCTTCCCATCCCCACTAATACTTAATTCAGCTTGAAGCCAAGCCCAGGTTACTACAAGAGTCTCCTGATGTCCTGGATCCAGATTCTCCCCTTTCAGTCTATTTCCACAATTAGCTTTCCAAAATATAACCACATCACCTCCCTGCCTAAAAACCTCCAATGGCTTTCCTCCCACAAAATTGAACCTTAGAACAAAACTACACGCCATTAAAAACCTGGCCTCATTATGAATCTAATCTCATCAATCACCTCTCCTTTGATCCCAAAGTTCTCTTAGATTCCAGCCACTTGGATCTATCTATCTTATGCCTCTGCAAATGTTGCAAACGTCACCAAGTCTCTCTCTTCATCTTCAAGACTCAACTTACTTATCACCTCTTTCCTGAATATTCCCCTGATGTCTCCATGTGGAGCTAGTCATTCCCTCCTCTGCCCAACACTTTGGAAATATCTCTATTACAAGATCCCATTTTACTTACAATATCGTCTCCCTTATCCCATCGTGAATTCCTCCAGGGCACAGAATTTTTATTCATCTCAGTATCCTAAGCACTGAACACAGAAGACACTCAATGTTGAATAGAAGCCTATACCAACACCAGGCTCTAGGGATATAAATTGGTTCTGACAGGTTTCCCAGAGACACCATGGGGGAAGTACAACAGTCAGGCGCACATACACCCCAAGAGATGTAGCTCTTTACTCACCAGATAGGAGCCTAAGAAACTAAAAGTGCAGGGACAGCTCCAGGTCCTATGGAATTTGGTAGTGACAAAAAATCACAACCTCATATGCTTCCAGGGTAAAAGGATGAGAGAGAGAGAGAGAGAGAGAGAGAGAGAGAGAGAGAGAGAGAGAGAAGAGAGGCAGGGTGGGGGGACACCTCTAGGCTCTAGGGGAAGTGCAGATCTTTTGGGAAAATAGCTTTAGCATGGCTTCAGAGTGGCAAGGGTCCAGTCTCTGCTTCAGTGAAACCCTCAGTGGATATGTGGGAGCTTGGGGAGGTCAGACTGGATAGCCAATTTGTCCATCAGCCAAGTACAACTAATATTAGCTGGAACTTCAAAACAAAAATTATATAAAACAAAATTCAGAGACTCCAGGATGACAAGGACCCTAAGACAGATTTGAATCAGTCAACTGCTCAGCATTTACCTTCTCAGAGGACACTGAGGATCCAGTTCTCAATTCCCTTGGTATGGGACAGCTAACCCAAGGCCCACACACCACCCAGTACCAATAGACAGGCTAAACAACCTAGGAATCCTCTACCACAATCCCTCCCGACCTATAACTCCAAACAGCCACTAACAATGATAGATCCGAGCAAGTACAACCTATGGCAGTTGTCGATCATGTATTATGATTTTCCCAACTATTTTGACTCCTCCCTAACAACTTCTTTTCCTTTGTAACCTCATGTGCATTCAGGCCCAACTTATCAATTCTTCCTCAGTATTGGCTCCTGCATTCTTCCTTTCTCTTTCATTACCACTGTCATCACTTTGGTCTGCCATGTAACAGCTTTGAGAATTAAGGCAAATCATTTACTCTCTTTGGTGCCTCATCTATAAACTGGGTAACAGCTGCTCTGCCTACCTCACAGGAAAGGTTGTCTGTGAAAGGTTCTGTAATCTGTAAAATGTTATACATAAATAGAAGGCATTACTATTATCAACCTAAGCCCTCTTTACTGATATGTGAAGCATATCTGGCTCCCTGCCTCTCTCCTTCTCCATTTCCAACCACATTATACACCACAGTAAGACAACTACACACTCTAAAACATTGCTTTGCCCAAAATCTTTCACTGACACACCATTTCTTACTTGAATCAAAAAATTCTGATCTGACGTACGCAGTGTCATCTCTGGACCACTGTCAGCTGCTTAGGATGCTTTCCCTAGTTTTGCAAGCCCCACCCATCCTTCAAAGTCCAGCTACAGACCCACTACACGCCACACAGAAGGACTAAATTTATGAGACAGAAATTTGAAACAATGTCATGGAAGAATAAAGGATAATTCAGTTTGGGGAAAACTTGGTAGAAACACTGTCATCTCACACTTTAAGAGTCTTTTTTTTTTTTTCTTCTTCCACCATGCCACGCAGCTTGTGGGATCTTAGTTCCCTGACCCGGGATTGAACCCAGGGCCTGGCAGTGAAAGCACCAAGTCCTAACCACTGGACCGCCAGGGAATTTCCAAGAGTCATCTTTTAAAGAGGGATTATACTTTTTTTTCTGTTTGATTCTAAGAGATAACCTAGGACCAACAGGATGGAAGTTATAGAGATGTATTTTAGCAATATGAAAAACTTCCTTATTGAGCTATCCCACGATGAAATGGGATGCCTTACATGCAGTAAATTCCCCATTACTAGAAATGTTCAAGCCCAAACTGGCCACAGGGCAAGGATATTTTAGATGTAATTCAATTATCACAAGGGTAACTGGACTAGAATCACAACATTTTAGGTCTGAAGGAAACCTGAGAGATCTTCTAGTCCAGTCTCCTATTTTATAGGTCTGGACAGGGGAAGTGATCATTCAAGGCAGCACAGCTTGCTCTGGAGAGCAGGGAACAGAACATGGTCTCTTTCAATCCAGTGAAAGCCCTTGCTACTCGAAGTGTGTGTGGTCCATGGACTGGCAGCATCACCATCACCCGGGAACTTGTTAAAAATACAGAACTAACCAAAATCTGTACTTGAACAGATTTTGTGTATGTAGCATTAAAGTTCAAAAAGCACTGACCTACACTGCCCCTTCCAAACCTTGAGTTTCTAATTCTGGAACTCCATTTCCCAAACTGTTTTGTATGTTAAACAGAGGTAACACCCAAGAAAAACAGTATTTTCCGTTCAAATCTGGGGAACTCTCGATACTATACTTCCAGTAGGAAATTCGTGATAAAAATATCAGTAGCATACTGAAAGTTCCAAAATATTCTGTAGTAGAGAAAACTTTAACCATGAAGTTTCTGAACATATTTGAGCACAAACTGTCTCTGAAAAAAAAGTTATCCTTAACTACTATCGCTAACATCCCCGGGCCTTGGGCTTCGCCCATACATTAGCTAAAGAACTTCAATCTCCACCTCATAGCTCCTTGACTCTCAGTACATTAAGCATACTGGATTAGTAAGTGGTCAAGACGGGCTTGCTGCTCTCCACACTGTAATAAGTGAGAGTAAGTTTCTAAATCACCGCCTCTTTTTTTTTTTTTTCTTTTTTTCACCGCCTCTTAAAAAATACCGGAGTTCGTCACCTGTGTGATTTAGCTGTCGGGATGCGCTAAGATGACTGCTCAAGGGTGAGCCTGCCAGTTAAGGCGGACGCCAGGAATTGGAGACTGACACACCAAACGCATATCCAGGCCCCCCACCTTGAGTCCGCTTTGTTTTTTGTTTGTTTGCTTGTTTTTCTGTTTGACACAACTTCTCAACCGTGTGCCCCACAGGAAACCTGTAGCTTGGAGTGGGTTCAGGGGTGCCTTGGATGCTCCCAGGAAAGGAGGGGAACCCTTGCAGTTCCGGAGGAATTCGGAGACGCAATCACTCGACCCCGGGAGCACACCACACCGGCAGGCTGAAGAGCTCAGGTGGGTCGGACCAGCCCAGACGCAGGGGGCGCCCACCCCCGCCGCGGCCCACCCCTGCCGACCCCCGCCCCGCACACCCGGCTCCCGGCCGCGCCCTAGGCGAGCGCCGAGTCCCCAGAGCACAGCCAGGAGCCTCGCGAACACGGTGGGGGAGGAGGCAGTTTCCAGGGTCGCCGCCTCCGTACCTGTCCTGTCAGGGGCTCCGCGCCCGGCTCCGGGCCCCACCGAAGACCGACGCCCAAGCCCTAGCGGGGGCCCGCCCCGCCCGCAAGGGCTGCCCGCCCCGCCCGCATGGGCTGCCCGCCGTGCCGCCCGACCCCTGTAGGCCCGTCCCAGGCCCTCTAGCCGCTGAGGCCCAGAGGCGCTCTGGGTCGGGGGAACACGCTACTCTTCCCCGAAGACCAGCCCGGGTTAAATACTGCGCGCTGAGCGCGGCCGAGAAGACTTCGATCAGGCACAAAGCTGGACACCTGGAGCGAAATAAGCGCGTGCGCACTGTACACGGGAAGCCGATTAGGACCACAGGAGAGAGGCGAGCGGTGGCCAGCGACCTCTGCAGGCAGAGGGTAGACAGCCCAGAGAGGAGCCTGAGGATTCCTTTGCGTTAAGCAAAGGGCTCCCCCAGAGGGTGGCTACGCTTCTGAGTGCTAAGCTGTTAATTAAAACAATACTAGTAAACCATCCTTCGTCAGGTAGCTTAAGGAAAAAATAAAAATTTGCTGCTATTCAGTATTATCCATCATATGGGGATTCAGGCATTCTCATGCCCTTATGCAAATTTACGTAATGGACTTTGGCATTTTTTAATTAAAAAAAAAGAAAACATGGGTGGCAGAAGTGGCAGCGGCTGAAGTAGGAGATAGATGGGCCCCTGGGCTGGATAGCTGGTGCTTGTCAAATGGAGCAAAACTGAAGTTTATCCTCAGCCAGACAAGAATGCAAGGCCCATTTCCCTTCCTTCATTGATGTGGAGGGAATGAACTAGCAGTGGGGTATTTGTTGCAGTAAAAATAGAAATGAGACTTTTCTTTTTGGATAAACAAGGAAAATAAGTAAACAATGAACAGGTTGGGGAAACAGCATAACCAGGCCTGAAAGTGTTAAGCAATCTTGGTTATTCGTTAGCTGTTACTACTCATAAACACGTGTAGCTAGACTTGTCCTTAGCAAAGCCAATTACTCTCTGACCCCCATATGAATTACCCTTTGCACCTGGCATTTCTTCTCCTACACACCCTTGCAGCACTCTTCATTTCCGAACGAAGGTCACAGCTGATAACTTCAGGGACACCAGATCCGGTTGCTCAGCTGCCTGATGCTAGCTTTGGCCATAAATTTGCAGAAGAAAAGAAATGCAAGACCTTAATTACTTTGAGCCTTATCACCTATCCCAGACCACGAGCCCCAAGCTATAAAAACCTTTCCCAGTGGCGGGGCGGGGGCACAGTTCTTGAGACTCTAGCCTGCTGTGTTCCCCCTTTTGCCTAGCAAAGAATAAAGCTACTTTTTCTCCTTCAAAACTCCGTCTCCGTATTTCTTTTCGGCATTGGTGCACAGAAAGCCAAGATTTTGGCATCACAGCCAGGCAACCCAGCTTCGTGAAGATTCGCGGCATGCTGTGGCCCGCAGGCACCCAGCACGCGCCCGCCCCGCTGCCATGGTGTCTGTCCAAGAGGAAGGTCAGCTCTGCCGAGTGGCAGAGAAGGAGGAGCCCAAGAGGAGACCAGCGATGCTGTTGGCTAAAACAGCTTCTGCAAAAGTGGAAATGAAGCCAAAAAGGTGGAAGGAAAGGATAAATCTTCAGGCAAAAATGTGCAAACAAAGGGGAAAAGGGAGCAAAGGGAAAACAGGCTGAAGTGGCTCACCAAGAGACTAAAGAAGACTTACCTGCAGAAAACGGAGAAAATAAAAATGAGGAGAGGCCAGCCTCTGATGAAGCAGGAAAGAAAGAAGCCAAGTCTGATTAATATCAAACACCCGGTCCTATCAGTGGTCCCTGTCTCCCTTCTTGTACAATCCAGAGGAATACTTTTACCAACTATTGTGTAAATGCAAGTTTTTTAGTAGCTCTAAAAACATTTTTAAAAAGGAGGGAATCCCACTTCATCTCATTTTTTAAGTGTGTGACAGGGAAGAGCTAAATCGGACTCCACATTGGATCTGTTTCTTTGACTTTAACCTTTGATTTTTGTTGCTTTTGTTATTATAATCATGCATAATGACCTGCCTCAGGAAACCCTGCCCACCTGTGAATGGCTGCAAGAAAAAAGAAACTAACACATCACCTCACTGAGGCTGGTCATTCCAGGAGATGTTTTGCAAGACTAATGGCCCTTTTACTTTACTTCCTCACTGCCTCTCCCTCTCTGATTCTATAAAAGAAACTGGCATCCAGACCCAGATAAGATGGTTTACCGGAGACACTAGTCTGCCATCTTCCCGGTCTGCCGGCTTTCCGAATAAAGTCGTATTCCTTACCTCAACACCTCGTCTTCGATTCATTGGCCTGTCGTGCGGAGAGCAGAGTGAGCTTGGACTCGGCAACAAATTTAGCGAGCCAACCAGGAGCCTTGCTCGTGTCTAGCCAGCCCCGGTCAGGGAGTATTGAGGCAAGGCCCTAGCAGCTGCCAGGACCATTTGTCCTGAGGATCTTCCCTTCAAAATTCCCTGAAGCGGCACTGGTTATCCCAGCACTTGGCAATTGAAGCAAGGAACCGACAAACTTCAATTTGGTGCAGCGAGTCAACGGACTCGATTCGATTTGGAGGGTAAGTCGCTCCGGCGTGCACGCCAGGAACATATTCCCCCCTCAATCTGGGCTTTTCCTTTACAGGACAAGCCAATCTGGTTGAGGTACCCTGCTGGAGGGGGGAATTGTTGTTAGACTCTGCCCGATTCTGGGAACTGGTTCCCTGGGAACTAGTTCATTGGTTTTGTAGGGTAAGTCTACCCGATCTGGGAACTAGTTCGTTGGTTTTGTCTTGGTTTTGTGTGCATCGATGCTAGAATTTGTACCTTTTGTGTTGGAATTTGTTGGCGTCTTCTGTGTCTTGGTGTCATCAAACTTTTAAAAGTGGAAAATACTCCATCTATCCTAAAGGAGAGCCCTTTGGGGAATATATTATATAAATGGGCAAAACATAGCCGTGAGCCTATGACTAAGAAAGACATGATGTACTATTGTAATAGGGTGTGGACCCAATATATGTTAGGATCAGAAGAACGATGGCCCCTGAATGGCTCACTCAATTATTATACAATCTCGCAGTTAGAAATGTTCTGCAAAAGAACAGGGAAAAGAGATGAGATTCCATATGTAGCAGCATTTATGCTATTGCATCAGGAGGAAAAGGAGTCAGAGGGCTGCCACCTTATGGTGCAGCAGTCTGAAAGAAAACCCAAGGGAAAACCTGTTCTACAAGGGAAGAGAAAAAAATGAGAGTGGGGACATGTTATTTCAAAACTTAAACCCCCGTCCAGCCTATCCAGCTCCCCCAGTGGCCAAGCAGGATGAACCAGCAGTTGTTCCAACTGTCCCCCCACCATGCCACCAACATATTCACTGCCTCCTGTTTCCCCTACCCAAGGGGATCAAACAGAAGTTTCTATGGTAACACCCGGGACACAGGAACCTGGTTTAGTATCACCATCTAAGACCCGACAGGGCACCCAATTTGGACTGGGTGCAGCAGGGCAATTTCCCTTGTCCCAATATCTTGTAAGAGGCCAGGACACTCCCTTGGACTTGAGGCTTGCAATTCTGATTTCCCCACAGGAGCCCCAGGTAACATTGACAGTGGGGAACAAGTTGATAGATTTTCTAATAAATATGGGTGATCTTAAGAGGCTTGTAAATATTAAACAAAGGGGAAACAAAGTCATCCTAGGAGAAACTTGCCTGTATCTTGCCTATATACAAGTGTCCTATCTGGTTTTCTCAAAAACCCTTATCTCTGCCATCTTTTTAAAATGCAAATTTTGAAAAAGAGGGTACAGTAATTTAGAACTTGACTTGTTTTCCATAAATATTAGTAGAAAGGGTTTAGCCAGCTAGACAAGTGAGCTTGATTTGTTCCGTCTGCCAGAAACCCAACTTTAATGCAACCTCTTTTGTAAACCTATGGGTTTTACATTGCTGTACCTGACTCAGGGCTGAACTTTTGAAATGAGAACTATGATGTCTCTCTGTTTGTTTGTGTGTTTGTATGTGTTTCTGTCTTTGGATAACACTGCTGAGGTTAATCTGTAAATGAGCCCTATTTAATTGGCTTAAAGAAAAGTAAGTGCTTACAAACCAAACAATTCTAAATACAAGATAAATTAAGCTAAATGAGTTTCAGGTTCACGTGAACTGGGAAATATTTAGTATGAAATTAATACCTGGTATTAATGTTTAAGTTTGTTGATCTAATTAATACAGACATGTCTTTAGAGCCATCAGCATTATATATAGTACTTTCACTGCACCTAGGTTTAATAAAAGTTAAATGAAATCTTGTTACATCTGTTGCAAATTTGTCAGCAAGAAAAATAACTTGATATGATGAAATTAAAGTAAATATAAATGAAATAAGATCTTTTAGGTAAGCTATAAGAATAATTATGTCTTAAAAATCATCTAAAATAGTTTCTCCAGATTTTGGTAACTATTACTTGCCTCTTGGTTGTCATTGGAAATTAAGGTTTTTAAGAGTCGGGGACTCTAATTTAAATATATAATTAAAGCTACTGAAAATAATGAAACATTTCAAAATGGTAGAATGTGTGTTTTCAGTTAAGAAGGTATGAGGAATGGAATTACATTTTACTGAGAAAGTTTTATACATGGCCAGGATTAACTAAATTTCGATTAAGTTACCTAAGTAGGTGGATTTTGTTAAGTAAGCTAATACAAGACTGGAATTTGATCTCTCTCTCTCTCTCTGTTAGAAGTGCTCCTTTTGATAACAGATTATATAAGTTTCTGTGCCCTTAGGTGATCCGTATTTGTTTTCTTTTAATCGTTTTGTGACTTTGGTTAAATGAATAAGTACTGTTTCTCAGTGACCTATGATCCTGTTGTGTTTTAAAACCTTTCTGATATTTTTGTGTATCTTTTTTTTTTTTTTTTTTTGGGGGGTGCCGGGCCTTTTTTTTTTTTGGCCTCCCTTTTTGTGGAGCGCAGGCTCAGCGGCCATGGCTCACGGGCCCAGCCGCTCCGCGGCATGTGGGATCTCCACGGACCGGGGCACGAACCCGTGTCCCCTGCATCGGCAGGCGGACTCTCAACCACTGCACCACCAGGGAAGCCCCCTTTTTGATATTTTTAACAAACTTCCTAAATATCAAAATCTGAATAAAGCTTTTTAGCCTCCAGTTGACTCTGAGATACTTCAAAAGAACATCTCCGAGACATCTCAGAGAGAGATGTCAAACTAATTTTATTTGGTATGTTAAATTACTTCAAAAACATTGTCAAGTGATTGGAGATGAACCTTAGGTTATGGTGTATGCATAAATGTCATTTTTATAGATATTCCAAAATTTATATGGAATCCCTAATATCTGCTATGTCCTGATATGTTATCAATCATAATACTAGTTATTCTAAAATGTTATATCCAAGTTTCCTGCTAATTACATTGTACTCAAATCTTTAACCATGCTATTTTTAAGTTTTGTCCTGATGCTTTTACAAAATGAAGATCTTCAAGAAGACTGATAAAAAGGAATTTTTTAAGAAATATAAGTTTCTGATAGCCTTTAGATAATATCACTGGACTGGGTAACATATGACAAAACTAATGGGAAACCTGATTATTTCATCCAGATCAATGGGAATTAATTACATGAGACTGAAAACATGGCAGATATGATTTATGACTTTGGGAAATATACTGACTTTAATCTTTGTTTTTCAGAAAAACCTTTTCTCTTATGCGATGACCTACAACAGGTTGATAAAGTACGCCTTTGTAAACAAAGACGAAACGTTTATCTTTTTCTCTCTACCTGATCCTGCCAGAATTTTTTGTCTCCAGCAGGCTGTCCTGTGGACTTGATATTATGTTAATCATTGTTTGAATTTGTTCTTTATTTCCAAATTGTTTGTGCTTTGTGTCTCCCTGCAGCACTATGTCTTTGTCATTGCTACTAGCTGCATTACTTATATCCTATTTTATAAGATTGTTGTCTCTTGCAGTACCCAGTGTGTAACCAGGCCTCAAAACAAAACTTCTATGGCTAAACATCTTAAGAAAATAAATCACTTTTATAACATAAAATAATTGTAATAATATGATTCTAGGTATGGGAAGAAGCAACAAGGGAAAATGTCTCCTGGATCATAGAGGATCCAGAGAATCTTTAATTATCAATAGGGCCTAATCCAAAAATTAGCACCTGGAGTGGCATATCAAGAATCTTTGCCTGACCTGGGATGAGCCTCCCAGCACCGTGGGACAAAATTTGATCGTGAAATGTCTCCCAAATATTGGTCAGATTCCCGACCAAGAGGAGAGGATCAGTCATCGGCGATTGC